TGCTTAAGCAAGATACAGGGACAGAGGTCCAATTTACCAATGGCAAACAGTGGGGCAAATGAGGATGAAAAGTCTGATAGTGAATCATTAGGACACCCTGAACTCAAAGCACAGGAAGTAACAAAACTGATCAATCAGGCTCTAGAGAAATATAAAATAGAAGTAATTTCTCAGATAATCATAGAGATAAGGAGCAAAATGAAAGTTATAATTCATGACTCTAGAACAGAAACAGAGGAAAATAGATGAACTCAGGACCATAATAGAAGCTGTGAATGTACAGCATAAGAAAGAATTGGAAACAATAAATGCCCAATACAAGAAAGAAATGGAATCCATAGGACAAATTCAAACAGATATCCAGGAGATTAAAAACTCCATTGAGAGTGTTCACAAAAGAATAAAAGAGTCCGAGATAGAATCTCAGATATAGAAGATAAAATTGCAGTCAGTGAATCGTGAAAGAGAGGTTTCTTAAAAACAGTAGGATATCATGAGAAATTGATACAACAACTCTTAGACGATACAAAGAAGAATAACATAAGATTGATAGGAATTCAAGAAGTAGTAGGAGAAAATGCAAATGACAAAACAACTGTTCACAGAATTAATTATAGAAAACTTCCCAAACAGAGGTCAAGAATTTGACATACTGATAAGTGAGGCATATAGGACGCCAACTAGCTGTGATAAAAAAAAAAAAATCTACACCTAGACATATAATAATCAAGATCCCAGAAACCCAACAGAAGAACAAAATACTACAAACAATAAGAGACAAGAAACAAATTACATGCAAAGGAAAGCCCATCAGAATCACAGCAGACTTTTCATTACAAACCCTTAGGTTTAGGAGAGCCTGGAATGAGACATTTCAAGTACTAAAAGAAAACAACTTCCAACCTAGACTGATGTATCCTGCAAAACTTTCTTTTAAAATGGATGGGGAAATAAGATATTTCTATGATAAAGAACACCTGAGAAACTTTATGAATACCAAACCAGCACTATAAGGAATTCTAAACAATATCCTAGAAAAAGACAGTGAAGGTAACACAGTGAGGCCCAACAGAGCAAATCAAATAGGCAAGCCAAGAAACTAAAGGGAGAAGGCGAAAAAAAACATGATAATAATAAGTTAGTACATATCAGTTATAACCATCAATATTAACATCCTCAATTCACCAATCAAGAGAAATAGACCAGCAGAATGGATTAAGACGCAAAATCTAATAATATGTTGTATATAAGACATGTCTAGTGCAAAAAGAAGCCCATAGACTGAAAGTGAAAGGACAAAAAACTTCATGTAACAGGAGCCCCCCCACCAAAAAAAAGCAGGGGTAGCAATCTTATTTACCGACAAAGTAAGTTTCAAACATAAACTGATGGAAAAAGATAAAGAAGTTCACTACATCCTTGTGAAGGGAACGATTCAAGAGGAAGAGATAACAAATAATTTATTTTTAATTTATTGAGTATGTCAGAAAGTACATATGCTTTTTTTTTCCTCTTTTCTTCTTTTTTCTTTTTTCTTTTTCTTCTCTGATGCTGGGGATTAAACTCAGCACATTGTTCTGGCTAGGCAAGTGCAGCAGTACCTTAGCTAAATCTCAGGCTTTACATTTCATATTTTTAAAATTTATCGACACATTAATCCTTGTCTCTATATGTTGGTCTACCAAATTGATGAGTTATTTTGGTTCTCATTTTCTTTGCTTTTTTATTTGAGAATTTATGAAATCTGTATATATGAGTAGTATGAAAAGTATTAAGGTCCATCTGTCATTTTCCTCTTTCATCTCTGCTTTCTACAAACTTCCTTTTCTGTCACTACAGCTTTTTTGATTGGAAATTTATTAAGACAAATGTTGTTATGTTATCAATATATCTTTGTACCTATTTTCTACTGATGATGAATATTAATTTTTAAGTAAATTTTATTATAACTATACTTAATCATTAATATCATTTAGTACCTGGTACATATTACAAATTCTCCAACTTCCTCAAAGATGATATTTGTTTTTTCTTAAATTATACAAATCACCAACATTCCACACATCACTGCACTGTTTTATTATACCTAAGTGTATATTGTATTGTAGAAAATATGCATTGTGTATATGTGTGGGGGTATGTTTTTACACATATGTGTGCACTATTAAATCAGAAACGTGGTCATGAATGTGGTAGGATTGTGCACATTTGGCATATTGATAGTTTCTCTGGCAACCTTATGATTTCTTTAAATTACATGTTTGACTTAATTCATAATCATTCATTTGGGAAGAATATTACATATGTATTGGTGTTAAATTCTATCATTATGCTTATAAAATGTAATAAAAATAAGTATGGGATATAATAAAATAGAAACAAAAATCTGATCTTAAAAATGTGAATTTTTTTTAGTTGCTTTTGGATTTTAAATATAAGTATATTTTTTTCTGTGGGAAGTTTTAGAAAATGTAAGTGGTACAATCAACAAGCATATGATATTTATCAATTAATAAAACCAAGGAGTTTATTAATTATAAAATTTTGAGGACAGTTTCTCAACTATAATATGTAACTTTGTTTTATTTATAATTACATTATTTCAAAAATATAAGAAAATGAGAAAGAACATAATGTTTGAAGATCATATCAAACTAATGTATTTCAATTAGTCTGTTACATAAATTTTTGTTTATTTCATATCCTTTTTTTGCTGTCATATATATGTATATTTGAAATTTTTATTTAGTATTTTCATTTCTTGTTATCATGTATGTTTGCAATCTTTAGTTAAAAAAAAAAAAAGAGTAGGAAGATAGGGCTGGGGATTTAGCCCAGTGGTACCACCACCTGCCTCACAAGCTCAAGGTCCTGAGTTTGATCCCTGGTACCCCCCTCAAAAAAGAGAAGGAAGATATTTATTTATAGGAAAGCTCCTGAGGGACAGGAGGGGGACCCGAGTGGGTAGCCTGGGGATTCCATTTTACAGAGGAGTTTTATAGAGTGGAACCCATGTGAGTACAGCATGGGCCACAGCCATGATCAACCAGTAAGATTATAAGCACAGTCATTTAGATAGTAGTGGTCCATTTGGGAAACAAGTCATGTAACTTGCGTGGATGGAAGGAACAAAGACTTCTAGGAAATGGTAGGTCCAGAAGTCTGGTTACCCACTGGGGTGGCTGACGTCTATCTAGATTTCATTAGGCCCAGGGTTTGTCCTTTGGGGAAGTGTGCAAGTCTGGTCATCTTGTCTTTATCTTGAGGCTGGGTCTCCAACTGATTTCTCCAGCCATAGGTGCAGTTGTGATACGTTTCACCTTTGTCCTGACTCTCTCAAGGACCTAGCTCTATCTGACTGCCTGCAATATTTCTACCCTACTGACCTGTCTATAATAGTTTAAATAAATGCTCTTATTTTATTGAAACGCTGTAGAAGGCCATAGAGTGCTTTACTAAGAACAAAAGTAAGTGATCTCTGCGTCTATATAATCTGTATTTGTCTTTTTATCAAGTCATTAACCAGTAATTGGGCACTGTATATATGTCAAGCATCTGTAATCTGGAAATCTGGAATCTGAAATGCTCTCATTTCCAAAGCTTTTTTTTTCTTTTCTGTTTTTCTTTTTCCTGTCTATTTTTCAGTACTTGGGGATTGAACCCATGACCTCACACCTGCTATGCAAGTGCTATAGCACTGAGCTCCAACCCCTGACATTTAAAAATACATTTTGAGACAGAAGCTCTGTAAGTTGCCTTGATTCTCTTTGAATTTACAATCTTCCTGCCTCAGCCTCTCCAGGAGCTTGGCTTACAGAAGTCTACCACAATGCCCAGCTTATCTGAAAGTATTTGAGTATTGACATCATTTTCAAAAGGTTTGGATTTCAGAGCATTTTGGATTTTGGGTTTTTGGATTAGGGATGCTCAATTGGTAAAGTTTGTGCAAATATTCCAAAATCTAAAATACTGTGAAATCTGAAATATTCTAGTCCCAAGCATTTCAGATAAGGAATACTCAACATGTCCTGGGTAGTGTTCTAGGCACTTTTTAATAATTTACTTTTTATCCTTTTTAAGATTCTTTAAGTTAGAGGGCCAGGGATTAGCATAGTGATGCCCCACCTGCCTGACAAATGCAAAGTCCTGAGTTCAATTCCTGGTATGGGGTGGGGAGAAAGAATCTTTAAATTAGAGATTATTATTTTCATTTTATAGAAGAGAAACTAAGACACAAAATGGTTTACTTGCCAAAATTAACTCTCAATATGTAGTTTAGGTCGAGTTTAAATTTAGTTCTTCTTGGTTCCATAGTTTGTATATTACAAATTTCTAATACATCTGACTGCTTTGTAGTATTTATAGTTGTTTCTGTCGATTTGTGTTTAGGAGCTTTTCTGCATGTTATTGTCACATGAAGTTCTAATGAAAGTGCTTTGATAGTTGGTAGAGAACTATTTTCTCATTACTGAATCATTTGGATAGATGGTTAGAATTCTTTCTCATGGCAGCTTTTGTAGTTTCATGTCATAGGACAATAAAAATTCAACCTCAAAGTTTACAGCTTTTAGAGAGAGAGGAGAGAGAGAGAGAATGTAATCCAGTGATGACAGTATATCTAAAAGTGTGTCTTGATTTAGTACAATTATTTTACATGTTTTGTATGTTCTTTAGCCTACTAGATTGGTTTTCAATCTGTATATATGATAATTGACTTTATAAGATTTTATACATAAATGAGTCTGATGCGGAAAAATAAGAGGCGGGTAGAGGAAAGGGGGGAAAAAAGAATTGAAACATTTTGGTATAATGTACCAATTCCCTACAGTGAATGTAATCATTATGTACTGCAAACATGTACTGTTAAAGGAAAAAAAAGAAAAAAGAAAACATTCATAATGTGTATAGGTTATATGCCTTTACAGTTTAAAAAATTTGCAGTTTACTTACAATTTTAAAACTGTAAGGCCACTTATACTTTTTCCATCTCTTTCATACAGGTACCAAGTACTTGCTTTTGCAACAGACGCAGATAAAAGGGAGGAGACTGAGCAGCAAAAACTTGGTTCTGGAAAAAGACTAGTTGTAAGGCCTTTTTTAATATATAAGAAATTCAATAATGCCATATCTAGCCATGTTCGTGAAGAAGAATTCCTGAGAATTTAAAAATATGTGTTCCATATATATAGTGACCTAAGAATTTAATTGGCTGTTATTGAGGAATGTAGACATGCTTGCTCATCGCTGTGTTACATCGGATTATGGCTGGTGTGGTGACACTGGGACTCCAGTTGTCTAAGTGAGATCACTTTGACCTGAAGTAATTATAAATTAAATAAAAAGAAAATTTAAAAATGCTTCTTAAATAGGCAAATGTATATACATTATATTTTTCTGTTCCTAATGTCTCTTTCCTTGGGCTGATTTTCAGATTTTCTCTTCGATACATTTTGAGCAATAAAGTTACGATTCCTTCCTCACCTACCTTCCCTGCCTTCCTCCCTATGTCCCTTTCTTCTCTCCTTTCCCCTTCCCTCTCTGCCTCCCTTCCTTCTTTCCTTCCTCCTTCCTGCCTTCCTACCTTTTCAGTTTAGGGTTACTGAGGTTTTTGTATCTGTAAATTTATAATTTTCTCAAATTGAGAAAAGATGTAGCCATTCTTCAAATATTTTTTCTGTTATCTTTTGCATTGAGAACTTGAATTGTGCGTATATTCAGGCCACTTGCAATTGTGTCACAGCTTACAGACTTTCTGTGCATTTTATTTATTTAGCAGTTCTGGACATTGAACCAAAAGCTGTGTACATGCCGGGCAAATGCTGTGTGACTGAGCTACGTCTTATTTAGAAAAAAAAAGTCTTTATTCTTGCTATTTCATTTGGGATAGTCTCTATTGCTACTTTTCAGACCACTAATTATTTTTCTTACAATACCTAATTTGGTATTAATTCCCATTTGGCATACATATCATTTCTATTAATTCAATTTTTTTTTACATCTTCTATGTCTCTACATACTCTTTTAAAGATATATAGTTATAATGATTTTTTTTTTTTTTTTAAAATTTTTTTTTTTTTTTTTTTTTTGTACCAGGGATTGAACTCGGGTCCTTGTGCTTGCAAGGCAGGCCACCGAACCGCTGAGCTAAATCCCGGGTCCCTATAATGATTTTTTTAATGTCTTTGTTTCTAATTCTAACATCTGTATGTGTTTTGGGTCAGTTTCAGTTATCTCTTTTTGTAAATCACATTGTCTTGTATTTAAATTTTTTTCTTCTTTTCTTTTCTCTCTTTTTGCCTCCCTCCCTTTCTTTCTTGCCTGCCTGCCTGCTTTCTCTCCCCCCCTTCTATTTGGTGGGTAGTAAATATTTTAGTATTAATTATAGTAAGTGCTTTTTCTTCTTTAGCTCTAGGATACAGTGAAGTTATCTGGAACTAATTTGATCATTTTAGTTGTTTTTAAGACTTACTAGGGGGACCGAAGCAGTGTGGGTTCTGAGGATACTTGTTTCCCATTCCTGAGGCAATGTCCTTCTGTGTACTTTACTCACTTCTGGGGAAAACCTCAGAATTCCTTGGTTTCCTCTCCTGCCTGGCAGGCATGGGCAGTATTAAATTCCATGGGTGAATACTGGACACTGCTACCTCGAACTCTTTAAGATGATTATTCTCCTTTGTGTACTTTCTTTACATGGAAGTAGCAACAAGTTCTCCACAGAATATTCAAGGGGGGACACCCTACAAGTCTACAGAGTTCTGCTTCTGTGTGGCCTTTTTGTATGCACTTAAAAAAATTTTTTTTTTTTAAATGTAGAATCTTGCTATGTAGCCCAAGCTGGCCTTGAATTTGTGGTCATCCTCCCGCCTCATCCTCTTGAATGCTGGGATGACTGGCTCTTGTGAAGTCTGCTTTGGTTTTTCCAGAACTTTGTCTGCTTGGCTGAAGCCTGACATCTCTCCTTTGGCTGAGGCTATCATACCACTTGTTGCTTTTGTTTTCATTTGGTTTTGCCTTTAAGGGATCACTGTCCTTTGCTCTCTGTTGTCCATTGCCTTGTAAACTGTTTTGCTCAAGTATTTTGACAATGTTGTGGTTGCTCTGCATGGGAAAGAAAATCCTTTTCCTGTCGTTCCATCTTGGCTGGAAGTGGAAGAATCTTTCTTATTGTACCTAGCAAACTCCTGTATGAGATTCATTGCTCATGTGTTCAGTTTTTCTAAAGGGAATCACAGAGACTGACAATACCTAGTGAAATAAAAGTGTTTAGTGGCTGCATCTCGCTTTTGTACTCAGACACATGATTTGCTTGTCTACTTTGAGTCTTCTTCTTTCAGGGCCAGGCACACATGAGCTTGGGGTTATAGCCACTGACATAGAATGCTAGAATCTAGTTTGGTACAATGTCATGAGAAATAGAACTGCCACTGGATAGGTTTTCATGTTTGTGTCCAGTGGGGTTTTCATGTAGGGAAGTTATACTTGAACCTAGTGGACTACTTAGTGTTGAACATTAGTTCAGTTTAGAATGTTTAACTATGTTCTCCTACTATCTCCCTCCTGTAGGTTGTTCTTATATATACACTGGCTATATATACACACTGCCTTTCAGACCAGCCCCATTTGGATTTCATATCTTCTTTAGATAGGGATTTAATTCAGGACCTTGAGCTTGCCAGGCAGGTGAAGTACCACTGAGCTACATCCTGGGCCCAACCATATGATATTTAAGCTTGTCTGTCTGATTTATTTCACTTAATATTATGGTCTCAAGGTGCATCCATTTATCTGTGAGTGCCTCATGATTATCCTTCTTTATGGTAGAGTAGCGTTGACTGTGTATAAATACCACATTTCTTTATCCATTCATCTGTTAATGTTATGTAGGCCATTTCTAAGGTTCAGATATATAAATTGTATTGCCATAGCATTGATATTCAATGATGATGACTTTAACCCTTTTGGGAAGAAACATAGAAGGGAAATAGCTGGGTCAAATGGAATTTCTAGTTTTAGTTTTTTGAGGAATCTTCATACTGATTTCCATATTTATTGCTCTAGTTTACATTCCCAATGAGAATGTAGAAGGTTTTCTTTTTCCCTGAGGTTTTGCCACCATTTGTTATTTTTGAGTGCTTGATGGTAGCCATTCTTTCTGGAGTAGGATGGAATCTCAGTATTGTTTGAATTTGCATTTCTCTAATGGCCAGAAATGTTGACCATTTTCTTCTTGTACTTTTTTTTCCATTTGTACTTCTGAGAAATGTCTATTCATGGGAGGGGATATGTAATTCTTTTGAGTTCTTTATGCATTGTATTGTAGATGTTAGTACTCTGAGGAATAGCTGGCAAAAATTTTTCCCCATTCTGTAAGTTGTTTTTTTTTTTTTTTTTCACTCTGTTGGTTGTTTCCTTTGCTCTGCAGAAGGCTTTAAATATGATGTGATGTCATTTGTTGACTCTCAGTACTGTTTCTTGTTTTATTGGTGTTCTGTTCAGAAAGTCCTTGCCTATGCCGATGTCTTTAAGAATTTTGCTTATTTTATGTTCCACAGATTGTTTTTGTTTTAACATTTAGATCTTTGATCCAGTTTCATTTTAGTTTAGTACATAGGCTCAATCTTCTGCACTACTTATTAAAGAGGCTATTTTTCTTCCATGTTTTTGGTTCCTTTGTCAAAGATTATATAGCTGAAAGTACCCAGAAGTGTTGCTACTTGCCTTATTCTGTTCCACTGATACAAGTCTGTTTTTGTGCCAGTACTATGCTATTTTTATCTATGTAGTTTTGTAATATAACTCCAAATCTGGGATTGTGATGTCTCCTTTTTGCTTTTGTTACCCAGGACTGCTTTTGCTGTTCTGAATTTCATTCTAACTTAGGAATTTTAGGATTATTTTCTTCAACAGTTATGAAGAATACTGTTGATATTTTGATTGCGATTAAATTAAATCTGTATATCAGTTTTGGAAGTGTAATATTAGTTCTGCCTTTACAGGAACATGGGATATCTTTCCATTTTCTGTTGTCTTCTTTGATTTCTTTTCTCAGACTTACACAATTTTCATTGTAGAGGTCTTTCACATCCTTGGTTAGGTTAATATCTACATATTTAATTTGTCTTGATGCTATTATGAATGATACCGTTTTCCTAATTTTTTTCTCTGCGTTCATAATTAGTGTACAGGAATGCTATTGATTTTTGTCTGTTGAGTTTGTATTTCACTACATTGATGAATTTGGTTATTCTAGGAGTTTCAGTAGAATTTTTTGGGATCTTATAAGTAGAGGATCATGTCCTCTGCAAATGTTGATAGTGTAACTTCTTTCGTTCACACATACACACACACATTTTCTTTCTCTTGTCTGATTGCTCTAATGTTTCAAGGACTCAGTGGAACAGGAGTGGTTATAGTGAACATTCTTGTCTTACTCCTGATTTTAGAAGGAAGGCTTTCAGTTTTTCCACATTTAATGTTCACTGTAGGTGGTTCATAAATGGCATTTATCAGATTGAGATAAGGTCCTTCTATGCCTGTTTTCTTCAGGATTTCTTAAAAAATCATGAATGGATGTTGGACTTTTGTGAAGACTTTTTCTACACTTACACTTGTTTCTGCTTATATGATAGATTACATTTATTGATTTGAGTATGGCATACTCTCCTTACATCCCTGAGATGTAGCCTCCTGGTCATGATGCATGATCTTCTGATAATGTTACATTCTGTTTGCTAGTATCTTGTTGAGGATTTTTGCATCCATGGTCATTAGAGCGATTAGCCTATATAGCCTATAGTTCTTTTTTTCAGTTGGACATTTATCTGGTCTTGCAGTCAGGTTATTGCTAGTCTCCAGGAATGACTTTGGAAGTACTCCTTCCTTTTTGGTTTCATTAAAGAGTTTGAAAAGTATTGATATTAGGTCTTCTCTGAAGTTCTTATTTTGCAGTGACTCCATTAGGACTTGGGTTTGTCTTAGTTGGCAGGATTTCTTTTCTTCTTCAATTTCATTGCCTGTTACTAGATTATTCAAGGTTTTGAAATCTTGGTTCACTGTCCTAGTTACTTTCTTGTTGCTGGCACAAA